GGTGATCCTTGTGGTATTCCGTTGTACATATTGTACGTGTTCGAAAAAGTGTTATTGATTTTAGTCACGAATTTCCGACTAATTAGGAAAGATTTAATAAARTTAAATATTTTTTCACCAATTTGCCACTTTTCCAGTTGTCGCAGAATGAGAGTGGATATGTGGTTTCTTTCCGATAAAGCAGTTTTGCGAAATTATCAAAATAGAGTAAAGCATCCATAGTGCCTTAAATGCCACTTTTTTTTGACTGAGAAGGTTTTTAGTTAATGCGAACCACGAGATACGTTTTGATATGATTTTTGCGATGGTTATGTTTGATTCGGTAATAGATGGAGGTGGGAGATCTTTACTGTACTAGTATTTTTCAGATTGTTGACAAGGGTCCCATTAACAAATTCTTGGGTATGTTGCCAAAAACAACAAGTGCAACAACTATTGCATAAATCTGACATGGATGTGTGTCGTCCAGTATATACACCACTTGAACCAAGCTTTCAAGTCAATTGTAATGAAAGCAACTGTCGAAAGGTCAACGCAGCTGAGTATCAGAGTCTAATCGGTTCACTAATGTTTATCGCGGTGAACACAAGACCGGACATGTTACACTCGGGGTGCAAATTAGCGCCGCGAAATTCCGATCCACATTGTGAACATCTTGCAGCGGCAAAGCATGTTTTGCGATACCTGAAAGCGACTATAAATTTGAAGTTGCACTACAGAAAAACTGGCGAGTGGATGAAGGGTTATGTAGATGCCGATTGGGGTRGTGACGCAACAGACCGCAAGTCATATACAGGCTATGCATTTTTCTTTGGTGGCAGCGTTTTTAGTTGGGAGTCTAGAAAGCAACCAACAGTGGCTTTGAGCAGCACGGAAGCCGAGTATATGGCGCTCTCAGCAGCAGCGAAAGAATCTGCTTATTTAAATAAGTTGTGGACAGAAATGAAAATGTTATTATGAGCTTAGTAAAAAATCCTGTTTATCATGCTCGTAGTAAGCATATAGACATTAAATTTCATCATATAAGAGATGTTTACAGTAATAATGAAATTGAATTAAACTATTGCCCAAGTAATGCTATGGTAGCTGATGTATTAACGAAAAATTTAAAAAAGGTTAATCATTGTAAATTTACAGAGATCTTGGGGTTAAAATAGTAATA